CTGAGCCGAAGTCGGACGCTTAATCCACTGAGCCACCCAGGCGCCCCATTACATGTATTCATTTTTGAGAGAGAGACAGAGCACAAGCGGAGGAGGGGCAGAGAGAGAGGGAGACCCAGAACCCGAAGCAAGCTCCAGGCTCCGAGCTGTCAGCACAGAGCCCGACGCGGGGCTCGAACCCACAAACTGCGTGCTGATCAATTGTGCCAGTGCAGCTGGGCAGTTGGGGGCTATCTTAGAATTCTGCCTGCCCCAGTGAGATCCTTGATGGGTAAGACGTTTGACTTTGTAATTTTGTCTCATTTTTGTGAATGGGAGAAGGGCAGTTGTGACTGGGGACATGGGAAAAGGGGGCTCCGTGAACAGGACGATGCCTGGATAGGTGCCTTGTCAAGGCGGTGAATTTTAGGAAAACATGGGCTTGGAAGTTGGGGATCAGGCGTTGATTTGCTTAACTCTCTGTGCCCACATAAGTCTTTGTACCCCCAGGGCTACACCCGTTCCATTCGGAAACCTGTTGCATCTGTGATCACAGGGGCACCTTGGTGCTTGGCAAATAGATGTGTCAAAGCAGCGAATGGAGCTGGCAGCCAGAGGGTTGGGACTGGGAGGGTGGAAACAGTGACAACAAAAAGACCCTGATGCGAAAGCAATTGCCACTTTCTTCTATCCCCAGACAGGCTTTTTTTTTTTTTCCTTTTTTTTTTTTCTGGAAGAATATTCTGTTTCCCCTCTAGGGAATAAAGAAATCTGAAGTCACAGCTTGCTGGTATCCTTACAGCTGTAACTGTTGCTTAGTAACCAGATCCCCCGTCTCCTTGCGTGTTGCCAAGGAGAGGGGAGAAAGGTAGAGAGGAGAGCACTTCTGAACCTCTTAAAAGCGATTGTCCTACCCACTCCACACAGGACTTCTCGCTTCTGGGAGTTGGGTGGATTGCCCAAGGCCAGCAGTTAAGATTCTAGAAGCAGAGGGACCTTGGTCTCCTTTCCCCAGGCTGCTTGGCAGGGAACTGGGAGGAAGAGCCTTCATGGGGACGTCTCCTTATAGAAGGAACCTCGACAATCCCCTGTTGTCGTTTTGGCCTGCTCTAGCACAAACAGAGGACGTACAGATGCTCCTGAGCTTTGGGGCAGACCCCACCTTGCTGGATCGACAGTCCCGGTCTGCCATGGATGTCCTGAAGAGGAATAAGAACTTCAAAGCCATCGAGAAAATCAACAGTCACTTGGAAAAGCTGGCCACATGTTCCAAGGACCTATCAGGTACAGCTTCCGGTGAAATAACTTTTTTGGAGGGGGGGGGGAGGTGCTAAAACTGGGTCTGTGATATTAGATGCAAATCACTTTATACTTTCTTAGTATATGATGATGGAGGTGAGACCCCTCAACTTTGGAAAACTTGTTTGCCTGTTTGGAAAGATACAGTAAGACAACTCTTCCTTACAGAGTGTGACATTCTGGTAACTTTGCTAGGTCCGCCTTTGGGCGGTATAGGTGACTTTTTTTTTCCATGCATGCACACAGTAAAAAAAAAAAAAAATTCATACAAGACAGGAGATAACAAAAATGAAGCCTACTCCCCAGAAGCAACTACAGCCAACAGTTTAAAATACATTCGTATCTCTTAAACACATATGGTTTATCAGTATGGGACAGCATCTATTGACTGGCTGCTGTATCCAATGAAATGCAACAAGTTAGCTCTAATTGTTGTATTTTGCCTAGTAATGTTATGTGTGTCGTTTACATTCTGCTCCTTACCTCTGAGTTTTCTGTGCTTCATCCACAGATGAATTCTAGAAATGGAATTCTAGTAAATGGCATTTACATGGTAGTGTGATTATGTAAATGATTATGTAAATTATGTTCTGCAACTGGTAGCCTAGCTGAAGCCGTAGAAAAGAATCACCAAATGTCCCGAAAACTTTGCTCTTTAATTGTGATACTATTTAAGCATCCCGGTTTAACAAAACATATACATTATTGTGTGGATGTGTGTATTTTTCCTGGAGGAGAGACATGGGTGGCAGACTCATGGAGTTTTTTGAAAATGTCTTTATGTTGTCCTTACATTGGTTGAGTATAGGCAGTGTTTTCTTGAACATAGGTATTCTGTTTTGTCGATTCTAAATTGCAGTTTCCCCCCACATTTTAACGTCTTTAAAATCGGAGTGTGTTTCACATGTGGCATGTCGATTTCAGGGCAGCTGTTTCTGGTGTGTCCGTCAGTGCGTGGGGTCTTAGATTGATAGAATATTCTGTAAAACCTTGTTCCTCCCAACTTTGGGGAAACTGTCATTGTCTTCTAGCCTCCATTTGCTACTGATTAGAAATCTGATGTCAGTCTCGTTTACTTTCCCATCTAGGACTTTCTCTGTCCTTCGAGTTTTGAAATGTCCCTGGGATATTTCTAGGTGTGGGTCCTTTTTCGTTCTTTCCGCTTGGCTCTTGTTGGCCCCTTTCAATCTAGCTTTTTTTAGCACAGGGAAATTTATCTTTTATTATTTTGTTCCCCTCCGATGCCTTTTTGGTGCTACCATTAAATGGCTGCGCTTCCTGAATTTATAACACGTCTCTCTATTTTTCCCAAATGTTTTCTAGGTGCTTTTTCTTCCCAGATCTTTAACTTGGTCTCCAGCGTTTCTTTTATAACTCAGCTCGCTCTTTGCATATTTT